TGGGGGGTGGGGGAGTTGAGGGGCAGAATTGGTAGGTGCTGTGGGCATACAGTTTCAGAGACATGAATTTTGAGGTCCCTTAAAGGGTGTCAGGCCTTTGAAGGGTATGAAAGGCCATCACATGTTAGGTACCCTGCAATGCCTGTAAGGGCTGGTGGCTTTGCCCCCTACCCCTCCACACATGGGTCTTTCTATCTCAAGGGGAAAGGAAGGCCAGGAAAGGGAAAGAGAAGTTGCAGGAGATCCAAACCTAGGGAAGAGAGACTACCCCATTGGCAAAGGCTTATATGTCCTTGCTGACCCTGGAGGGGACCTAAGGGAACTTTTAATGGGCGCTCTGCTAGGTCAGAAGTGGCTTTCTGGGCCTGCATATAGAGAGAGCAGGAGTGGCACAGAGGCCCCATAAAACCAGCTGGGGGCTTCAAGGACCAATGAATGGGCTCTTTACCCTAATCCAGTCACCCTGGAGTCACACACTGAGCAACAGCTCCACCTGGTGGACAGGGGACCACCCTGGGCCAGTAGTACTAGGAAGCCAAAGGATGATTGTGGGGGAAGCAAGGGAATAAATACCAGCATAGGAGGTTAAGAGATGGAAGGGACTCTGAGGTCCTCTCGCTGGCAGAAGCCCCTGCAAAGTTCATGCTCTCCATTCCCCTGGGTGGGGAATATACTTCTTCAGAGGGTTATTAGGCAATTAATTTTTAGAAAGTTCTTAGGCCTCCACCAGTTCCTCAACCCCTATCTGGGGGATTCCAAATGCAACCTTTCGAATAGTTGAACACATCTTCTCCCCCACCTTTTTTTAAATAAAGATTTATTTATTTATTTGTTTGTTTGTTTGTTTGTTTATTTATTTATACAAGCACTGGGCACAGTCAGAAGCGCGGGAGGGTGAGAGAATTCACCAGAGCCAGAGCGGGGAACAGAACAGGCAGACTGATGAAATACACTGCTGAGGGGAGCAGTGGGCACGGCAGGAGAGGTCTGTCGTGCCATGTGGGACCCTTGCCGGCAGCCAGGGATTGAACCAGCACTGCAGAGGCTGCGGGCAGCTTCGTTGCAGAGGCTGTGGGCAGCTTCGCAGCCCAGCACTGAACCGCTGCACCACCAGGGGAGACCCATCTTCTCCCCTTTTGCTTCAATCTTCCAGAATCTGCCTGCAACTTTTCACCTACTGTACCTCTTTTTTTTAAACTTGGTTGTCTACTTTAATATTTTTTTTTCCTTTTCACAAACCTTTTTTTTCCTTTGCAAAGCAACAGCAGCAGTGTGACTATGCAGATGTCTATTTCTTAAACCTACCCCTTTCAAAAAAATAAATAAATAAAATTCAAGAAAAAAAACATTTAACTTCCGAAGAATCTTTTCTAGTGCTCACTTCGGCAGCACATATACTAAAATTGGAACAATACAAGGGGGTTAGCATGGCCTTGCACGAGGATGACAAGCAGGGGCCTCCCTGGTGGCACAAGGTGCTAAGTCTCAGCATTATGAAGCTATCAGCAGCCACTCAGGGAGCTAACCCACATGGCACAGCAGACCTCTCCTGTCTCATCCATGCTCCCCTCAGCAGTATATTTCAGTAGATCTGCCTGTTCTGCTCCCCGCTCTGTCTCTGGTGAATCCTCTCACCCCCCTGCACCTCTGGCCCACACACCCCAGCTCTTGTACACTTAAATAAATAAAATCTTTAAAAAAAAAAAAAAAAGGATGACAAGCAGATTTGTGAAGCCTTCCATTTTCAAAACAAACAAAAGAAAAAACTAAACTAAAAAAAAAAAAAGAAAGGAATCTTTTCTAGTTCTACACTACACCTAGTCATCCTCTGCCCACACTAGCAGCATTTTAAAAACATCTTTGTGGGGCCACCTTCTGTTGTTCAGGGTCTGGTATGTGGGGAAGTAGATCTGGGGTTAGAGGTCAAGAGCAGGGGCTTTGAAATCAGACAGACTGGTATTCAAATCTGGATTTTACCACTCTCTAGCCCTGGGGCCCAGCAAAGTTCTTAACCTTTTTGAGTTTCAATTCTTCACTGGCAAATCAGGATGTAGGTATTAGGTGAGATAAGGCAGATAAAACACGTAGGACATCTCCTGGCAACCTAAGTAGCCATCATAACCACATTCCTTGGGCTTCAGGGCTATAGGGAGAGCTCTGGGGAAAAGAGGCGAAAGAGTAGCAAGAAGGAGAAAAGGAGACGTTCCTGGAGTTAGCCTTTCCCAGCCAGCTGGAATCCAAATGGGTCCCTGATCCAATATCATTTCCAGGGCCGCCTCAAGTCCCCAGGAAAATTGTGGATGTCGTTGGACACACCAGGTAATGGCAGGCCTTGACAGTTCTTTGAAACCCAGAGGGTTTAAAAATTAAATGTCTCTGGGCAAGAGAAACACACCAAAATAAACACACCTACTGCTCAACAGAGAAAGGGAAACTTGGCAAGGACCCCAGAACTTTCCCCACCCCCAGTCCTCCCTAAGCTTCCTCTTGTGGTTTCTCAAAAGTACAACCTGTTCTCTGGGGCCAAGAGAGCCCCTGGGGCAGGGGGCTGGGGCCTGCTAGGGTTCCACCCCACCCCACCCTATGATAAAGGAGGGCAGAGGTGGGGGTGTCAGAGAACAGCCTGTAGGTCTACTCAGTTCTTAAAATTCATAAGCTGCTTACCTGTTTTCTTGGTTCAGCCACCCTCTACCCCCAGTCCCAGCCTCAACACCCATCCCCCCACAACACATACCCCTCTCTCAAAGAGAAGTGGTTTGCAGGCAGAGAGGGGTTGCCCCAGGGCCTCCAGACCTGTACAGGATACTCTTGTGAGAAACACAGGGTTTCTGAAAGGTAATGGAACAATGGCTGAATCCATGGAAAATGTCGCGTGTCCTGGCTAGCAAGCCTGGGCATTATCCCAGTCAGCCTGGAGGGATGAGCCCCAACACACAGATGCAGCTATGGAAGGCAGAAGCAATGGGGAAGAGGAGTGGGCCTCTTAAGACAGCTTCCACTCCTTGACCATCTTCCTTATTCAGCTATCAGGTGGACTGTTTCTCTTGCCATCTAATAGATAAGGGTTTCTCCTGACAAAGGGGGGGTCTTATTTCCCCACATGCACAGATTCCAGAACATCACATTCATTTTGAGTTTTCTTGCATCAAACCTTGGCTTGGTTTGTTTCTCTGAGGGAAAGAGGCTTATGCAAGCACACACGTGCACACACACACAGAGTCCTTAGGAGGGGACACCAGATCTGTGCCATCCCCACAACCCCACCCCAGACCTGCTAGGGCCCATGTAAACACCCAAGCTCAGCTAACATTGCTACTCACATTCTTCTGGATCACCCAAGACACAGCAGCATAGACACTCTTTCAGAAAGGCCTAAGCTGCTGGGTCAAGTGGTCTGTCAAGGAGATAGGCTAGTCTAGTGGTTAAGAATGGGGTCTCCCAAATGAGATGACAAGTGACCTGGGTTTAAAACCCAGCTCTACTATCTATTTCTGGTGTCCTTTTAGAAAGTGACTTATCTCCTCTGGCTTGAGTTCCCTGATTTACAAGATGGAGATAGTCCTCCTGCTTTCTCATAGGACTGTTAGGAGGATTAAATGAGGCACTGTGCTTAAAACACTTAGAAGAGTACCTGACAGTGCTATACTATGCTATCTAAGGATATTCTTAAACTTGAGGGAAGGAAACAGGAACAAGAAGGTGTGTGGACCATGGAGATCATGATCTCAAGAATTAGGCACAGACAGGGATCCTGCAGGAATTCTAAGAGATGCTTTCAATTCTAAATTCCAGGAGGCATAGAAACTCCTGGAATATCCCCAACATCTAGCCCACGCAGACAAAAAAAAGGAGCAGAATGAATTCATAAGTTGTTGTGTAAGTCATCTCTCAGAGAAGTACAGAAGAATCTGCTAGGAAAGCAATGGGAGATCCAGTTCTAAGAGAAGTGAGGAGTGTGGGTGGAGTGGGGATGGGGGGTTGAGGAATAGGACAAGAATTTGTTAGAGGAAACAATCTTTAGAGTCCAGGGATGGGGAGTGGATGCCCAGGATTCTGTGTGGACTGTCACCCCAGCTGGACCCTTCCAGCTGGACCCCACTGGAAACTTTTGGGTTCTTGGGGACCAGCCCAGAACTTGCTTTTCCTGGAATTCATCCTGCTCATCCCTACCTCTTCTTTGTGCCAAGACAGTGAATTAAAGAGAGCAGGGACTAGTTCTGGGTTCCCTCTGTATCCCAATGCCCAATACCACTGTCAGGGTTCAGTACAGCTCTGCGGAATGATGAAGTGCCCCCAAAGATATCCTACCACTTCTCTACCTGGTGAAATATTCACCCAGGGCCCAATTCAAATGTCCTCTTCTCTCTGAAGTCTTCCCAGTCACCCCCAACAGCACACTTGGCCTCTCATCTCTGTTGTTTGGTGACCCATACTAGCTGTGGATGAATAACAGCTCTCCACTCTCAGCATCCTGTACAACACCAGACACAGAGTAGATGCTCCATCAACATTAGCAAATGAGTCACTCAATGTTCCCTGAGCAACAGCAACCTCACTTATTCCTCTTGTTTTGTGCACACTTTCAAAGACACGGAAGAGGCTAAGACCATCACAGGTGGTACATATCAGACACCACAGAGGGATGAACACTGGGGGACCCGGGCTCCTTCCAATCCTTCCAAAGGCTCACTGCCCACACTGGTACTACCTTCCACTCACCTCCCATCCTTATCTCAGAAGAGAAATGACTACCACGATCTGGCAAAGTCACTAGACTTGCAGGTCAGCTAGAGGGTTCAGAGCTTGGGTTTGTTTCTGTTACTCTGACGGAAAGTGAGTAGAGCTTTGGGGGCCAACGGGAGGTCACGAGGAAAGGATGACCCGCTTAATCCACCCAACTCTGGTTCCCATCCAGCAGCTCAGGCTGAACCTTGACCAGAGGAGGGGGTGATCACAGTGACTAACGCACAAATCTTGGCTTTTCCAGCCCTCAAGCCTACCTCCTAGGCAGGTGAGCCCCCCGTAGCATCGATCTTGACAGCAGACAGTCTCTCTCGCCGCATCTGGTCCCAGTCTTGGGCGAGGTGTGGGGAGGAGAGGAGGGTCGCAACCTCCAGCCGCAAAGAGGGGCGTGCACCCCTCCCCAAAGCTCCCCCACAGAACCAGTCTCCACCCAGCAGGCGCGGCGTGTTTACAAAGCCGTCGCGGCGCCGCGGATCCCGAGTTTAAAGCAGGGCAGGAAGTGGGGACTCGGGGGCGGGGGAGACAAAGGGGTTGGGCGCTCAGCGCAGACAGTTTGGGCTCTGACTCCTCAGGCGCTGCCCGGCGCCCCCAGCCTGCAGACCCCGCCCCACGCTCCCTAGGTGAGGGGGCGGGCACCTCCCAGGCCCAGGTTTGCAGACTCCTGCGGGCCGGGTACGTGCAGCTCAGCCTTGGGACTCGCAGGAGATAAACAACCAGGCGCTGCTTCGTGACTTCTTGTAATACCTCTGGCACCGTGACAGACCCTGATCATTAGCTTATTTCTTCCCCGCTATCAGTCTTACCCTTTCACAGAAGAGGAAACTGAGGCACAGTGAGGGTAGGTCCCACAGCTGGCGAAGGATTCCAACCTGGAGCGTGTCCCGCTGGGCACCCGCAGACGGGGAATGAAGAGGGCCCCACCTGAGGACCCTCGAAGGGGTGAAAGCCACAGGCACCAAGTGACCGCAAAGCTCTGGGACTAAGGCGGCCAGGGACACAGCATCCGCCGCCTGCGCCCCGCGGCGCGCCCCGCATCCCCTGGGGTACGAGGTGGCAGCGGGGTGCGGTGGAAGTCCTGGACCAGCTGGTTAGATCCACTAGTTCCTTGTGGGCCACTGGCGGAATGCGGGGCTCTCCGCACAAAATAGCGTTTCCTCAAATGTCCTGCTTGGGAGACTCTCCGGGCTGGGCCCACCGGGGGCTGCTAACAATCAGGTAAATTTGGATCATTCCAGGGAAATACTCTGTGAGAAACAGTTTCATCCTGAAACAGGTATTAAATCGAGGGCGCATTTTCCTGATTAATTCCGAGGTCACAGGGGACCGAAGGACCCTCAGCTCCCAGAGGGTCACGCGCGCCGGGGTCACCAGACACATCCCCCTGCCCCGCAAGGATTCGCACAACCTGGTTGGGCGCGCCCCGCCCCTTTCTCTTGTCGCCCCGCCCCTCATCCCCGCCCCACGACTACAAGTCCCATCCTGCCCTGCGCTCGCGCACATTACGCCAGAGCAAGATGGCCGACGCGGCGGCTACTGCCGGGGCCGGCGGCTCCGGAACGGTAAGGGCGGGAGGTGTGGGGCGGAAGCCAAGGGAGTCCGGGCATTCTTTAACTCTCCTCTAGCCTGGGCAGCCAGCTCATACCCAGAGGGCCAACCCCATCATGAGCTCCGAGTAGAGGAGGGTCTTTCAGGTCGGACTTGCCCCCCCTCCTCGGGACTTGGCGGCGGCCTCCTGAGTTGGGAGCCTGGGTGCTGATTGGCTCGTCCTGTGGAGGGGGTTGGGAACCCGGAACACCTCCTGATTGGTGCTAAGCGGCCGTTTGCGCCTTTTTATTGGCCAGCCGAGGTTGGGAGGGATTCCCGTTTCAAAATATTTAGCTTTCCTGATTCTCTGTCCTGTTATCCTTTGCCCTCCTCTGTTCAGCATCCTGTGTTTGTTTTAATTTTCCTTAGTGAGATGCTGTGGAGATGGGTGGAATGAGAGAGACGTTATTTTGTGTGTGTGTGTGAGCGATGGGCATAAATTTAATCGTGCATGTTTTTTCAGCTATATTTTCTGATTATCTATTAAAATAGAAAGTAAACAGCCATTTTATGTTATGGGAATTGTAAGGTTTTTTTTAAACATTTATTTATTCATGCATACAAGAACCGGGGTACAGGCCAGATGCGCGGGAAGGTGAGAGGACTCACCAGAGCCAGAGCGGGGAACAGAACAGGCAGACTGAAGAAATACACTGCTGAGGGGAGCAGCGGGCGAGACAGGAGAGGTCTGCCGCGCCATATGGGCCCCTCGCCGGCCGACCAGGATCGAATCCGCGCTGCAGAGGCTGCGGACAGCTTCACAGCGCTGCGTTCAACCGCCCGCACCACCAGCGGAAGCCCGGGAATTCTAAGCTTTATGTTAGGCAGAAAGACTGTCTTCGCATTTAGAGTATCCTAGGTGCTAGGTGATTACTGAACCAAGATCTCAAGTCTACACATCCGGGACGTCACATGTTATTAGGCATTAATAGTTAAGTATTTAGCAAAATCACCATTGCTTGTCATTATGTGTGAAATATGTGGTTACATCCTTGTCCTGTGGATGAAAATTCTCTCTTTCTGGGCTGCTGATTCACAGAGATCTGGAAGTAAACAGTCCACTAACCCTGCTGATAACTACCATCTGGCCCGGAGGCGAACTCTGCAAGTGGTTGTGAGCTCCTTGCTGACTGAAGCAGGCTTTGAGAGTGCTGAGAAAGCATCCGTGGAAACCTTGACAGAGATGCTGCAAAGTTGTGAGTACTGGGAAACATTAGACCTTCTAAATATACGTTGTGTGTCCTGCATTATGAAATTGTTGGAGAGGGTTTAAGAAGAAGGAGAGCATAAAAAATTAGAATCAGATAGACTTGGATATAAGTCATTTGTCTGCCACTTAATAGCTTGGGCAGGTCACTAAACTCCTTGAACCTCATTTCCTTACTTGTGAAGTGAGATAATTATTTGCGCTTCATGGAGTTATGCATAAAGTGAGATACATACATTAAACATTTGATGCTGGGAGCATTATAAGCTCTTGATGACTTGTAAGTGCTGTTATTATCACCATTTGCTTTCTACGCTCAAATGACTTAAGAGTTTTGTGGAGAGTCAGGATTAATGCCCATAAAAGAAATGCTACCATTTTTAATGTAAGCAATTATCTGATTTATAAAAAGATGCAACAGGGCCTCCCCGGTGGTACAGTGGTTGAGCGCTGGGTTGCAAAGCTGCCTGAAGCCTCCACGGTGCCGGTTCAATCCCCGGCTGCTCCCCAGCCACTGGAGGAGGGTCCCGCATGGCGCACAGACCTCTCCTGCCGCCCGCTGCTCCCCTCAGCAGTGTACTTCGGTCCTTCTGCCTGCTCTGCTCCCCGCTGTGGCTCTGGTGAATTCTCTCACCCTCCCACGCTTCTGACTATACCCAGTGCTTGTATAAATAAATAAATAAATAAATAAATCTTTAAAAAAAAAAAATGCAACAAAATTTTAAATGATACAAAATATCATTTTCAAAACAACATCAAAATAGGAGTGTCTATTTAACAACACTCAGCTCATATAACAAAGCAAATAGGTGAGTAGAATAACATTGTTCATGCTATAGTTAGTTAATAAACTGCCAGTAGAGAAAGTTGGTTGTAGGAAAATAGAGGAATTGTGTCTTAAAAGAATTAGAATCAAAAAACTCGAAAATCATGGGGCAGCCGCACAATGTTGTACCTGTGGCTTAAAAAGATGGGGACACAAGATACTTATACCCCAATTTCTCAGTCTCAGCAGCTGCACAGTTATACCAGGGATACACTTGGCATACAGATTGACTGCACTAAATCCAGATTGGCTGTATTGGAGGAATTGATAAAGTTAGCATCAACCAGGAGGTAGTAAGGTGGGACTAGCTATGTTTTATCTTGGAAGAATGAGTAAGGGTATTGGTGACTTCTCTTTCCATGAGTGGGACCCCTTTTTTCCTTTCCTTTTAGGCTTTATCCTTTTCTTTAAGCCACTGATTTCTGAGATTGCAGCATTTGCTTTACAGACACATACTTCCTTGCTTCTTTTGCTTCCCCATTTTCTGTTGTACTCCCGTTTCTTCCAGAATCACCCCACATGCTACCATTTTATATAATCAAATGCTATTATTGTGTGATATAGAGTGAGGGTGGATAAGTTTTACAGAATGGGAAAGAAAAAAAACACTTTTTGTGTGTGTAGAAGAACTGGGGTCTAGACCAGAGGTGCAGGGGGTGAGGATTCACCAGAGACCGAGTGAGGAGCAGAACAGGCAGATTTTCTGAAATACACTGCTGAAGGGAGCAGCGGCCGAGATAGGAGAGGTCTGCTGTGCCATATGTGGGCTAGCTTCCTTGCCTGGGATCAAACTCAGGCTGTAGTGTTAATAGCACTGAGACTTAACACCTAGGCCACTAGGGAGGCCCTCCCACCCCCCAAAAAAAATAGTTTTTAAAGAAAATATCTTGAGATTTAGTAGAATAGGCTCACCTAGACGTTTCTGCATATACAGTGCATTTTCCTGTTGGGCTCTTTTTTAAGATGAGAAATGAGAGAATTTCAGGCTTTAGGTGGGGAGCAATAGCTATGAATGGAAGCGAGAGAAAGATTTAGGTAGAGGGAGAAGTTGAACTGCAGTGGAAGCTATGCAGAAAATTGGCCAATTCTGTGAGAGCTCTGGAGTAGTTATTAACCCTTGCCTTATCCCACATCAGACTGAGAAGGCCCTCCCTCCGGACCCTAGCCTGACCAGTCACTAAATGTGGGCTGCCTAAGGAAGGGCATTGTCTGGGGCAAGGTTGCTTTCTAGAACTGATGTTTAGAACTTTTGATACCAGATTTAGGCCTCCCTAGTGGCGCAGGGGTTAAAGTCTCAGCGCTATCAAGCTACCGCCAGCCACTGGGGCATGAGTTCAATTTCCAGCCAGGGAGCTAACTGATAGCAGACCTCTCCTGTCTCGACCACTGCTCCCCTCAGCAGTGTATTTTATACATAATAAAATACGTAAATAGTAACTACCCAGTCCCATCCCCCCAACCCCTAGTAAGTTCTAATCTACTTTTTATCTTTGTGAATTTTCTTTTGATATGTACCTCATTTAAGTGGATTCCTAAGATAACTGACTTTTGTATGTGACATGTTTTATTGAGCATAATATTTTCAAGGTTCATCAGTGTTGTAGCATATGTCAGATTCATTCCTTTTGAAGGCTCAATTACTATTTTGTTGTATGTACATGCTACCTTTTTTTTTTTTGAAAGATTTATTTATGCATAGAAGAACTGGGGTGTAGGCTAGAGGTGCAGGGACAAGGGGTGAGAAGATTCATCAGAGACAGAGTGGGGAACAGAACAGGCAGACTGACTGAAATACACTGCTGAGGGAGCAGTGGGCGAGAAAAGAGAGGTCTGCTGCACCATGTGGGTCACCTCCCTGCCTGGGGATTGAACTTATGCTGCAGTGGCTGCTGATAGCTTCATAGTGCTGAGCCACCAAGGAGGCTCCCATGCTACATTTTTTATCCCATTCATCTGTTGGACACTGGGTTGTTTCCACCTTTTGGCTACTGTGAGTGCTGCTTCTGTGCACACTGGTGTACAAGTATCTGTTGGAGTCCCCACTTTCAGTTCACTTGGGGGTATATCTGGGAGTGAAATTGCTGGCTCATGTGGTAATTCTTTGTTTAACTTTCTGGAAACTGAGACTAAGACTCTGTGCCTTTGATCCTTTCCTAGACATTTCAGAGATTGGGAGGAGTGCCAAGTCTTACTGTGAGCACACAGCCAGGACCCAGCCCACATTGTCAGATATTGTGGTTACTCTTGTTGAGATGGGTGAGTACGTCTGCGCTTTCCAGGTCTTTTTTTTTAAGATTCATTTGTTGGGCCTCCCCTGGTGGTGCAGGCGGTTGAGCGCAGCACTGTGAAGCTGTCCACAGCCTCTGCAGCGCCGGTTCAATCCCGGGCCGGCCGGTGAGGGTCCCACTTAGTGTGGCAGACCTCTCCTGCCTCACCCACTGCTCCCCTCAGCAGTGTATTTCGTCAGTCTGCCTGTTCTGTTCCCCACTCTGTCTCTGGTGAATCCTCTCACCCTCCCACGCATCTGGCCTATACCCTGGTTCTTGTATAAATAAATAAATTAATTTTAAAAAAAAGATGTATTTATTTATGCATACAAGAACTGGGGTACAGGCCAGAGATGCGGGAGGTGAGAGGATTCACCAGAGACAGAGCAGGAAACAGAACAGGCAGCTAGACTGAAGTACACTGCCGAGGGGAGCAGTGGGCGAGTCAGGAGAGGTCTGCTGCCCCATGTTGGTAGCTCCCTGGCTGGCTGGCCAGGGATCGAACTCATGCTGCAGAGGCTATGGACAGCTTCACAGCGCTGTGCTTAACCCCTTGCACTGCCAGGGAGGCCCCCACTTTCCAGTTCTTTAAAGCATCTGAGCGGGAGTTATGAGAGAGGAATCCCAGGAGTCAGCCACGACTGCTCAGTGTTCTTGAATTCCCTCATGTCTCTTGGTTTGCTTTTAGCTTGAGACTGTTAAAGGTATCTCACTCTCTCAATCACAAGAGGGTTCCTATTTAAGGGACCTGCTAACTCCCTATCGGAGAATTCTGCTGGAGATTCTTTTGAGTGGCAACAAAGCTCTTGAGTTTGGAGTTTAAGCTGTTTGTCCACAGCATCACTCTCTTTCCATGTTCAATATTCAGTGGTCTGGGCAGTGATTTTTGGTTTCCTGTTTCTTAGGATTCAATGTGGACACTCTCCCTGCTTATGCAAAACGATCCCAAAGGATGGTCATCACTGCCCGTAAGTGACTTTGAACTGAGGTACTCAGTAAGTGCCCGACTTATGCTTATGGACTGAATCAATTAGCTAGGGCAGGGGTGGGTGTGCTAGTATTTGACTTTATTACAGGGTGATCTTTATTGGACTAGTAGGATTAAGATGTGAAGTTCAGTCACCAGAAAGGTAAACTGTCGCTGAGAAGTTGTGCTATGGCCCAGCAGAGTAATTAATGCTATTTTAAAAATGTGAAAGTTCTTGTTCTTCCTTAAATCAAGGGTCAACTGTGGCCTGTGGGCCCGACACAGCCTGCTGCCTGTTTTTATATGAAAACAGCCATATTTACTTACCATCTTTGGTTGCTTTTGTGCTTTAATGGCAGAGTTAAGTAGTTGTAATAGACTGAGGGATTTGCAAAACCTATAATATTTGCTATCAGTGCCTTTACACAAAGGTTTGAAGACCTCTACCTCAGATAAACTGAGCAGGATATGACAAGTTTGGGCTTGTTGGACCCAGCGAAAATTCACTAGATTTTTATCCCCCCCATCATGATTTTCCTGCAGGCATCTTTTTAAGAACTTCCCTCTCAGAGGCCTACGCTTCCTTACACTGGCCCATTGTATGCCTTTGTTATCTAGGGTCTGTGGAAAGAGCGCCTTGGCATCATCTTTATGTCACGCTTAGCTGCCCAGTGTCACTCAGTCATCCAGCAGGGCTTGGGGTGACTGTCTCAGGTTTTTAAGCCACTAAAGACCTTTTACTGATAGAAGTAAAAAGTGCCTGTTACATAGAACATTGAGGTCCAATGTTTGAAAAAGGTGGGGTTTGAGGAGATATCTAAAGCCTTGGGTGGATAAATAACCAGTTGTGACTCTGTTGCAGCTCCAGTGACTAATCAGCCAGTGACTCCCAAGGCCCTCACTGCAGGGCAGAACCGACCCCACCCACCGCACATCCCCAGCCATTTTCCCGAGTTCCCCGACCCCCATACCTACATCAAAACTCCGGTGAGTGACAAGGTCATGCGGGGAATTGAGGGGAAGGAAGAGGGACAGGACTGATGCAAAGCACAGAGTCCATTCCTACTGTCAGGCTGGAGTCCCAAAGTTTGTGGTGACAAGGTAATTGCCACACAGCTATTGCCCTTGACCTGTAGTCTTTGTATGAGTGTCCTAGGACTGCTGAAATGATGTGCCACAAGCTCAGTGGCTTAAAGCAACAGAAATGTTGGGGTGAGTTCATGCCACCTAACCTGTTCTGAGGGTTAGAACTTAAACATTGCTTTTGTAAGGGGGACACAATTCAACATTGTAACAGAACTCGGAGTATCTTTCCTTATTGGGAAACAGTCTGGCAAAGGAGAATTAACAAGGAGATGGAAGCCAGCATCAGTTTTGCCTCTTCCACCAAAACACAAAAGTGCCTAGCCTCATGGAGAAGAGACTGGAAGGATAATCCACCAAGTGTTTGTAGCAATTCTTAGTGGGATTACAGGTAACCTTTGTTGTTTGGTGTGTATTTTGGTGAGTTTCCCCAACTTTCCATCATAGAAATCTGGGGAAAGGTCTTACAAAACATAGTAGTATCATGAAATAGAACTTATCAGAACTCTGAGTTCTAGGTCTCCTTGAGGATGAGTTGAGCTGTCATCGGTGGTTCACGCTGTTCTGTTTGCTGGGCTAGCAGTTTCACTTCCCTGCGGGAAGGTGTGGTGTGCAGAAGAGTCCCCAAGGTCTTCCATACACTTCCTCTGTCCCCTGTACACACTGTATGTGGTGCAGATAATGGCCACTGTGCCAACTGTTAAGGCAAGTTCTCCAGGACTTTTCTCCATATCTGAGGCTGTGGGGAAGGACAGAGAAGAAGAACAGAAGCAGCACAGCCATTGCTCTTGATCTATAGTCTCTGTCTCAGTGTCCTAGGGCTGTGGAAATGAAGTGCCACAAACTCAGTGGCTTAAAACAACAGAAATTTATTGTCTTAGTTCCAGAAGTTAGAAATCCAAAATCAAGATGTCGGCAGGGTCCTGCTCCCTCTACAAACTGTAGGAGAACCCTTCCTTGCCACTTGTAGTTTTGGTGGTTGTAGCAATCTATGGTAGTCTCCTTCACACCAATGTCTGCCTTCATTTGGTTTATTCTGTGTCTGTCTTCATGTGACAGTCCTTTTAAAATTACACCAGTCCGGTTGGATTAGGGACCCACCCTATTCCAGCATGATCTCACCTCAACTGACTACATGTGAAATGACTTTCCAAGTAATAACCCTATTCTGAGGATTAGGACTTCAACATAACTTTTGTAAGGAGCACACAATTCAACCCTTAACAGTCCCTGACTTTTGTACTGTATCACTATCGGCAAAAAAATTACGCACATACTTCAGTATATGCTCACTTATTTATGTGAATAATATAGTATACATTAAAGATAATCTGACTCTTATTAAAGGTTTGGAACGACTTTGTCCCTTCTCTGTTTGCTTTTTATTTTTTGGAACTTGGTTTAATTCTTTAGACTAATAAAGCTGGAGGTCTGATTCTAAGATCAGTTTTTTAGATACTTTAATGGCTGTCATCTTTGAGAAATATACATTACAAAGATTTGTACATCATTATGCTTAAGTCATAAAACTAAATCTGATGAATTTTGTTAAAATTTATCTATTGAAATTAATTACTTTTTGAATGCCAGACATTCGTCTTTAAAATAATTATAAAACTGGCATTTTAACATTTCTAACAAGTTTGTTCAAAATCTCCTCACTTCTTCGTTTTGGGAAGATTCTTAACAAGCCAGAAAAATCCTGTCTCTGTGTTTAAGTAAAAATGTGGGGTCTGTACAGGGACATAGTAGAAATGTCCCCACATCCTCCTTTGAAAGCCCTATATCGAGACATCTATCTCCATGTTAATGAAGAGTAGTTACTTTTGGGGTCATTGTTTAAAATGTCACCTTTATCATCACAATTTAAAATATTTTGGCTGACTTCTTGTTCTGAGTAGATCACGATCTCTTTTCACTCCCCAAAGAGCAGGAGGGTGAGACCTGCCATTTACTTCAGTTGTGCTGATGTTAGCAGCTTCAGTCTGTAGTCATTTGAGGCAGTCTTTTGGAACAACACGTGCATTTTTGAGAGGGTAAAACAAGATACTGCAATCCACAAACCCACTGAAGCAGCAATGCACATGCTGCAGGATGTCACATTACACTGAAGGAACAAGGTGGTCCCTGTCGGGGCTCCCTTGCCCAGGATTCCCACTTTTCTTCAGGACGTGTCCTGTGCCTGCAGTCAGCTGTCATGGGAACTAAACGAAGGCCCAGGACAGTCACTAAATACTTGTACGTTTCTTACATTTTAAAATTAAAAACAAATTTTAATGGTAGTTACATCTTTCTTTCTGCCTTTCCACTGCCCTTTGGGGCCCTCTGCTCTAAATGACAGTAGCAGGCCATTTAGGAGTAGAGAGTAGAAGGACACAGCAACAGCAAGGCAGGGACAGGAGCAGAGCAGAATGACCTGTGGGCCTAACTCTTGTGTCTTTGCTGTTCTCTTTTTAGACATATCGGGAGCCTGTGTCGGACTACCAGGTGCTGCGGGAGAAGGCTGCATCCCAGAGACGGGACGTGGAGCGGGCGCTCACCCGATTTATGGCCAAGACGGGGGAGACTCAGAGTCTTTTCAAAGACGACGTCAGCACGTTTCCATGTGAGAGCTCTCCCCTTGCCAAGCCCTGTCTTACCTTTTGAGAAAATCACTGTCTTCTCTTTCTCTCAGCCTGGTAGAAAGAAACGTAAGGTTTGTCCTTTTCTTGGGTGCAGCTTCTTCTTCAAAATTCTGACTCCTTTCTCAGATCTCAAGGGCCCTGTCCCTAAGTGATGACTCCAAAATAGTAATGGGATTAGCTGCTTGAAGTATGTTGAGTTAACCTCATGTGTGACTGAGCCCCAGGCATTAGTGAGTCTCAGACAGAAGAGACACCGGCGTCAGGGGCCAGGGCAGCTGCAGAACATCTGCCAGGCTCTGCCCTTCACAGTGTCCTCTCACAGGGGCATCTCATTTACTATCTCCTTGTAGCACTGCCATTCATCTGGGTGGCCAAGTTACTTCATGAATAGGCCTCAGTTTTTCCAGAGGTGAACAGGGAGATCAATTTGGTCATCAAGCTTCTACTCTTTGTGCCTGGCTCTGGAATAATTGCAGCTAACAGCTATTAAGTGCGAGACGCTGTGCTAATCATTTCACATTATATCGCGCTCCTCCCCACCAGTCTCCTGAACATTTAGGAACTATTACCACCTCCATTGTAGGGAAGCAGGATTTATAGGGAAGAGAAATGAGGTAAGTTGCCTCAGGTCACACAGCAAGTAGGTAGCATTCAAACTTGGCTCTTTCTGATTTTAAACCTAGACACATTAAGAATAATGTGTCTCCTGTAACAATAGTGTGTCTCCTGATAACAATTCCATCATAGAAGTACACAGAGAGACTTCCTCTTAAATTTTTTTTATTATCAATAATTTCTTTTTATCCTCAATGTTTTTTGGAAGAACTGGAACTGGTTTCTCTGAAGTGCCTTCTAGCTCAGTGGATAAACATTCAAGGAGAGTTCTCAAGTGTAGTTTTTGAACTTGAGTTTTTTAGCTGAAGGAGCCAATTTCTCTATTCTAGAAGTGAGGCTTAGAAGGTTAAACTGACCTGGGGTACAAGATCAGTAAGTGGATATTTTGCTCAGATTCAGTCCTAATTCTGTATCTGGTAAAAGTGAAGCTCTGAAACCATTGTTGGAGATCATATCCCACTCTGCCACTTTATGGTTGGAGAAGTCACTTACCCTCGGCCTCAGGCTCCTTCTCTGTGCAAAGGAATTGGTAATTGTCCTGAAATAGGGCACAGGGGAGGGTTAAAGATAGCAAGTGTGAAGTCTGTGGAACATTGCCTGGCCCAGGATAAGTGCTTGAAGCATTAACCTTTATTGTCATGTGGTGCTGCTCACTAAGCTGTTGTCAGGCCCTAGGCCAGCGGCAAGGACTCCATGACAGTGGAATTGTGCCTCTCTTCCAATTCCCCAGTGATTGCTGCCAGACCTTTCACCATCCCCTACCTGACAGCTCTTCTTCCATCTGAGCTGGAGATGCAACAAATGGAAGAGACGGATTCCTCAGAGCAGGATGAACAGACAGATACAGAGAACCTTCCTCTTCATATCAGCACGGTGGGTCCTCCCTTTTTCATGCTTCAGAGTACTCCGAGAACTAGTCCACACTGCTCTCAGTCTGCCACCCTGGGAATTGAATGTGACCTATCACAGGTCTCTGGTTTTATGTTAGGGCCTTGCACGATGAACTTAGGAGCATCCACGTGTGACCTGATCTCCACCTTGCGACCTAAGTCCGTATCCTAGGCACTTATTCATTCAACAAATACTGAATGCCTGCCAGAGCCAACTGTGGGGAATTAGTGGAGACAAATTAGATGAAATTTCCTGCTCTCCTGGAGCTAAGGAAAAATAATAAACTCGAAGCTAGGAATTAGGTATGGGCATTGGGGGAAGGTTATTAGATAGGTTAACTGAGCAGGTGACCTTTTTTTTTTTTTTTTTGCCAATTTATTTTATTTTATATATTTTTTTACATCATTTTTCATTTAGAGGTTGACCTTTGAGTAAAGGCCTAAAGGAAACAAAGCTTGCACCTATCTGGGAGTAGACCTTTTCTCCGAGAGAGCAGCAAATGTAAAGGTGGAGCTTGCCTGCAGTGCTGAAGAACAACAGAGCCATCAGGGTGGCCATGGTGGCATGACCAAGGGGGAGGTAGCAGGGAATAAGGTCAGAAAGCATGTGGGGAATCCAATTTTAAAAATTATATTACACACCTGGGCATTTTCTCAGTTAGATGGGGAGCGGTGGAAGCGCTGAGCAGGGGAGGGCCAGGCGCTGGTGTGGCTTTCCTGGCAGGCTCAGTCATGGTGCCGTTTGAGGGGAGACCCTAGGGAAGAAAGGCAGCAGCAGAGGGAGCAGTGAGGAGGGTGTTGCACTAAACTAAGAGATGGTGGTCAAAGTGAAGGTGATGAGGCATGATCAGAAAGTTATTTGGTCAAATTCTAGATTGTTTTCAGAGCAGAGCCAACTGGCAGAATGGATGTAGGAGAAAAAGAGAGTCAGAGAGAACTGCAAGGCTTTTTGCTTGAACAACAAAAAGTGGCGTAACCATCAGCCAGGGTAGGGAAGACTGAGTGGAACAGGTGGGTGGGGGATGCCAGGAGTCCAGGTTTAGAGGAGTTAAATTGGAGATGCATATTAGCCCTCCAGGGGGTGATATCAGGTGGTAGGGTGGTTGTGAGCATTGGGAGTTCAAAGAGCTGTTAGGGCTACTGAAGTGAATTGGGGCATCCTCAGCATGCAGATGAGAGTAGATGAGCTCTCCTAGGGAGCAAGTGAGGATAAAAAAGAGGTGCAGGGACTGATTCTTGGGATACCTACTATTTAGAGGGAAAGGAAAGTGGGAGCTCGAGGCGATAGAGAAAGCATAGCAGAGAGGTGGGAGATGAAGTGGGGGAACATGGTGTCCTGGGGACCCATAGAGGAAAGTGTTTCTGGAACAAAGAATGATTAGCTGTTTTAAAAGCTGTGTTAGTTACAGTAACATGAGAACAGAATCCGTCCCTGAGATTTGGCTATGTGAATGCATTCTGTGTCCTTGACAAGCAACTTCAGTAAGAATGAGAGCAAGAACCTGGAGCAAATTCACAGAGAATGGGGGAGTAGAAATTGTAGTTGGTGAGTATAAACTTGCACTGTCTATTACAGTAGCTGCTAGCCACATGTGGCTGTAATTATAATTAATAGGAATAAAACTAAAAATTCAGTTATTTAGTCTAGTTGCCATCGGGGCAGTACAGATGTGATCATTTATGGAATCCGAGAAAGTTCCATTGGACAGCACTTACATAAGTGATCATTTCAAGGAATCTTGCTGTAAAAAGAAAGAGAAATGGAGCAGTAACTGAAGGGTGAAAATGAAGGAGTTAAGGGAAGTGTTTTTATTTAAGACAAAAGAACAGAGTGTTTATATGCTGATAGGAATGATCTGGTGGAGGGGGAAATTGATGCAGGAAAAAGAGAAACATTTGGAACGTTGTTCCTTTGTAGGTAAGAAGGCATGGGGATCTAGTGCCCAAATGGAGGGGTTAGCCACTTTAGTCTCACCTAGGCTATGAGTTAGTGTATGTGGGCACTGAGACAGAGAGGGTGAGATGTGCCCTTGGGGACGTGTGGGTATTCTTTTCTGCTTTTCAAGTGTTGTAAAGGATTAAGCCATTCTTGCTTCTACCTTTTGGGAGAGAAAGTACCAATTGGAGTCACAGGACTGCTGGAAGCCCTAATGCCTTTAAAGCATACAGGCCCCTATTGTCAGGTTACATCATTCCGCCATCCTTTAAGATCAGTCCTGGCTTTTAAGCAAAAAATGCTGTAGTAGTTGTAGTTGGGCCGAGTGTTCTTTGGTCTCTGTGATGCGATGCGCCGAATGCAGCCAGCAGCTCCAGGATGGCCAACGTGTGCTGTCTCAGTTATTCGCTGAAGGTCTTCCTTGCTTGTGCTCATTTCGTTAATGTTGAATTATTTCTTTGAGAATTAGGGCTGGGAGCCTATGGCTTTACATAAAGCTGAGGAACTTGTTACTCTCCGCTTCTGTTTTGAATTCAGTTCATTTGGTCTGAGATAGGATGACTGGATCATGGACTGAAAGGAGGTTCACCTTATGAGGAGGAATCTTCCAAGCAGATGTCACCAGACATTTGTAAGTACAATGTAGTTAAAGGGCTTGCAGATGTGTTTTTGAACAATCCAGGTAATGATAAAAGTGAGGTCACAGCGGTGAGTGAACTGACGATGAGAGAATGCAGGGGCTGCCTAAGGACTCCTGGATACTGAGGGGCTAAGCCAGACAGCAAAGAGGGGTGACTCTCAGAGTCAGACTGACCTGGAATTCAGACTGTGCTCCTTTCCAGATAGGTGACTTTCTTCATGTAAGCCAGCATCTGAATGTTTCCTCACATATACAAATAGAAATAGGAGCACCTACCTCCTGGGGAAGAGAGGGCCTGGCACACAGCGCTCATGGCACCTTTGTTCCCTCCCCTACTGTCTTAACCACATAATCTGTTAAAAAATTAAATTAAATTAAAAAGATTCCAAGAAAAGGATTCTAAAAAATTTATATGCGATTGCTTGGACTTGTTCTTTTGTTGGTCTGGCAAATTCAGAATGTGTGTAAAAATTCAGAATGTACAAAAAGATGTATGGTGATGATTCTTCTCCAATCAGACGTTCCCTGTCTCCGCACTGCAGCCAGTGGTACCAGTCTCTGGTGTGTCCCAGAGACACTGTATTTTATTGTTTTAAACACAAATAACAAATCCCACGGTTTTCCCCTGGCTTTTTTTCCTTATCGATTAATCTTGGTGATTCCATACAAGGAACTTCTTTATCGCTCACCACTTTGTGGCATCCTGTTGTGTGGACGCCATTTAATTTAACCAGGTCCCTGTGAACATTTAGGTGGTTTTATTTTTAGCCTTTATAGACATTGTTACAGTGAGTTGGTATTAAAATTAGGATTTCATCTGTGGTTGACACTGCCTCTCTCAAGGACAGTCTGCTGTCAGCTACCTACTGATGTTAGGTAGTTGCTATGGTTAACCTGGTCCTGGTTCCTCCGTGTACTTGAACATAAAGGAGTATTCGGTGTTTTGTTTTGTTTTTTTTTTTTTTAATTAGAGGCATGCTTTATTTATTTTATTTGTTTGTTTGTTTTTTATTTATACATGCACTGGGTACAGTCAGAAGCGCGGGAGGGTGAGAGAATTCACCAGAGCCAGAGCGGGGAGCAGAGCAGGCAGAAGGACCGAAGTACACTGCTGAGGGGAGCAGCGGGCGGCAGGAGAGGTCTGCGCGCCATGTGGGACCCTCCTCCGGTGGCCGGGGAGCAGCCGGGGATCGAACCGGCGCTGCAGAGGCTGCGCGCAGCTTCGTAACCCAGCACTCAACCGCTGCGCCACCGGGGAGACCCAAGGAGTATTCGTTTTAAGTTAGTGTATAGTAGAACGTCTTTTCCTCAGACATTTGAACACTCTGCCTTCTGCAGGTGACCTCAGTGTCTGAACTTCTACTCCTTTGTAAACCGACCACAACCATTTACTCGGCAGGCATTTATTCAGTACCTAGTGTGTGCTGGATACTGTTCTGGGTGCTGGGGACACATTGATGAACAGAACACAGTTGCCTTTTGGGAGCCTGTGTTTGGCAGTGAGGGAGAGACTGTCGTGCTAACATGAAGAAGTCATTAGAAAGCTTACATGAAAGTGCCGTGGACGGGAACAGTGGAAAGACCCAGGTAGAAGGGTGGAGGTTTTGATTTAAGCAGGGTGCTTGAGGAAGACATCACTGAGAAGGGAACTTGAGCAGAAGCTTGAAGGAGCTGAGGGAGTGAACCATGTGGCTGTCTAGGGAAGAGTATTCTGGAAAGGGAACAGCCCGGAGGCCAGTGTGGCTATGGCTGAGGGAGGCTGGGGAGAGGAGGAAGGAGTCAGGTCAGGTAGGGTCTTTTAGGCAGTTTTACAAACTGGCTCTTCACTGGGTGACTTGGGGTTATGGGGAGTGTGGAGCAGAGGAGGGACATATCTTCAGGGGCCGCTGCTGCCATGAGAATGGACAGGAGTGGGGCATCAGTTACGAAGCAATTATGGCATCTGAACGAGAGAGCCAGAGGTGGGTCCCCTCAGGGCGGCTACAGTAGACCTAGTGGAGTTGGTCAGATTCTGCCTGTATTTTATTTTATATATTTTTTTAAAGATTTATTTATTTATTTATACAAGCACTGGGTATAGTCAGAAGCGCAGGAGGGTGAGAGAATTCACCAGAGCCAGAGCAGAGAGCGGAAAGCAGAACAGGCAGAGTGATGAAGTACACTGCTGAGGGGAGCAGTGGGCAGCAGGAGAGGTCTGCGCGCCATGTGGGACCCTCACCCGGCGGCCGAGGATCGAACAGGTACTGCAGAGGCTGCGGGCAGCTTTGCAGCCCAGCACTCAACTGCTGCACCACCGGGGAGGCCCTCTGCCTGTATTTTAAAGGAAAAGCAAAGAAGTTTTCCTAACAGATTGGATGTGAGATGTCAGAGAAAGAAAAGCCAGAATGACTGTGGAGTTGTAGGCTAAGAGAGGTGCCGACAGCTGTGATGGGGAGGACTTTACGAAGAGAGATTTTGTGTACTGGGAGGGTCAGGAGCTCAGTTTTCGGCATGCTAAGTTTGAGAAGCCTGTTTGACACTCAGGTGGAGATGTCGAGTGAGTAGTTGGCCATGCAAGCCAGTAAGTCAGCAGGGCTGGAGAGGTACCTGGGAACTGTGGGAGTGAGGATGATACTAAAAGCTGAGGCTGGATGCAGACACCAGGTAGGGGTCTCGATAGAGCTCACTGGCATTGCCTGCATCTGGCGTTTCCAGCTCAAGGAACTTCTGACAGGCCTTTCTGTTGACCCCCTTTGTACAAATCTAAGCTTGATAACTCATTTCTGTTATCTCCTACCCTCCCTTCCCCCATCTCAAGGTTGCCCATCCGAAAGAGGCAAGAAGGTGGCATTTTCTCATGCTGTCCTTGGGAGAAGGACTGATCCATGTCCTGGCCTGTGAGACGCAGTGAGCTGAGTGGAGGCAGCCCCACTCTAGCAGCGATCTCTGCTGTCTTTTCAGCACCCCTAACTGTGTCACCTCCATCCTTATTATCTTAGGAAACACTTAAGTCATGGTTGAAGTGAACTTAAGTAACTTTGAACATGGGGTGCTTACCATAGAGAAATAATCAGGGAAGTAGGGGGTGAGTTACAAAAGTAGGCCATTAAGAGGTTGCGAACGAAATACCCAAGGCACATCTGGTTGTGGTCAGATTTTGTGTCTGGACCTGATCTGGCAGGAGCTAGGGTGATCATGGGACACTGGCTGTCAGGAGCTCTTCCAGAGGCCCAGGAGGACTGAAGGTCACCTCGTGGTCACACCAGGTGTTGGGGAGGGAAAGCACAGGAACTCTGGATACAGCAGAGAACAGCAGTGATGGGGTGATGTGGGCAGTGTGCAGGGGAGCCTGGAGGTGAGCCAGTTTCTTCAGGCTTATTGAACCTGAGAGTGGTGTCCCTGTCCTAGGCCAGCTGTACCTTGGGGACCATGCTGTTCATTTCAGGCCTCTGCTCTGCTGTTCTTTTGCCTCAAGTTACAAAACAGGACTCTCAGTGGCAGGGCCCTGGTCTGTCACCAGAGGGCGCAACCCAACTGCTTCTGCTCATGTAGTCATTAAGGTCTCAGCTCCTACATGGAGTTCTTCCCCCGCTTCCTCTGTAGTTCCTGCTCATTTTAAAGAACTTGGGAAATAGGAGAGAATATAAATAAAGGCGTATCAACCATCCATATTCCCAGACTCCAACCAACCATATTCCCAGTTTTTAAAATTTCATCATGTTCTTTTCTTTGTGTGAATACATACCATTGTGATTTAAAAAAAATCTTTTTAAAATTGGGATCATAGTGAATACTTGTAATTTAGAGACTTTTCACCAAATCACACATTCCTCAGAAAGCAAGCTGTAAGAGATGTGCTTCACGGGTTGCAGATAAGAATTATTGATGACGCCTCCATGTTGGTACCTGCAGCTCTGCTTTGCCATGATGGAAACCCTCAGGACTCAAGTTTCTGGCCTTTACTGCCATAGGGTCATTGGTACCAAGTTGCAAGTATCAGATGTTTGAAGACTCGGGGGCAGCGGGGTTGGGGGGGTTGTGGATCTGTTAGGATTTACATTGGCTTTGGTCCAGGAGATCCCCTGTGCACGTGACTTGTTCTGATCCTATGTGTCTGTCCTGCAAGGCATCAAGTGTACTTCTTTTTCTGTCCACAGTCTGGGCTTCCTCCCTGAAGCATCTGAGTTATTGCCTCTGGTCCCCCAGCCTTACCAGGTCTCTGTCCTTTCACGTCCCTGTCTTCTCACGAGATTCAGGGTTTTGTGTATTCTACTGTCAGAGCTGTCACTCTCGCCTTCCTCTACAGCTGCCGAGGCCTCGTTTCCCTGGGGCAGAGACAGATTCATCAGAAAGAAGGTGGCCCTGGGGCTTCTAATTTCTACATGAAAGGAATGCTGATAGTTGTTTGTATTATGGGCATGATCTCTTTCCTTATGCCGTTGGTGTTTTGCTTTATTTCGGCTTTTGCTCAAAGGATGATTCTGGAGCTGAGAAGGAGAACACCTCTGTCCTGCAGCCAAATCCCTCCTTGTCAGGAAGCCGGAATGGGGAGGAGAATGTCATCGATAACCCCTATCTGCGACCTGTGAAGAAACCCAAGATCCGCAGGAAGAAGTGAGTTGGAGGCTGGGGTGCAGAGAAGCCTCTCTGGCCAACCAAGGTGGTTTCTCTGATCCTTCGCGGAAAAGAGAGGCTCACCAGTAGGTCTGGACTTTGAGGAAAGCTACTCTGGTGAGAGGAAATATTCCCCCTTTTCTTCTTCTCACTGTCTCCCATATGTACCTCTTATTCCATAGAGGTTGAGTGTCTTGCAGCCGGGGAACCAACCCTCACAGCCCTGGAGTTGTTCTCCCATAGAAGCATAGCTGGGAGGGCTCCACCAGGCAGGCCCATGGATTCCTCTTCTTTCTAGGTCCCTCTCGTGAGCTGAGAAGGAAGCAGGCCTTGTTAGAGGGATGTGGACGCCGCCCTCCAGGGGGAGTTAGCCACTCGAGGGAAGAAGAGAGAGTGGCCTCTTCGTGGTCAAGCAGAGGCTGCCCAGGGTGTGATGGGGCATGATTTTAATAGCAAACTCTCTGTTAAGATGACCTCTTCTCATTGGATATTTGGGTTGAGGAAGCTACAAAGGTAATAACTAAGTTTTCTTAATCAGCCAGGCCATCATACAGGGCATAGGAACCCAGCTGGTGACTTCATTGATTATCACAAGATTTGATTCCTTTGAAACCTGAAGTCCAGGGAAGATGGCAGGAAAGAAAGGTCTCTCTCTTTGTTTTGCTTACTGCCAGAAAGACTGTTTGCCTGCTTTGTGTGTCAGGATATCTGGACCCCTTTTACTGACTCACGATTTGTGGCAGCTGGTTTTATCGTCCCAGAGCTTCATTCTTACTTCTCTCCTCACTTGGGCTCCAAGTGCCCTGTTGATGTGATCAGAGGTGATTTTGTTAGAAACAGATGGCCCTGATGTCACAGCCTAACCTGGGCAACATTTTCTTGAGGGATTTATCAGTTAGCATCCCACTGTGGAAGGTGTGCTCAGGGGACCTTCCCCCCACCAATTCCTGCCCCTCCTGATATAAGATGTTTTCTCTGACAAGAGCCTCATGCAGCAGATATATTATGTTGTAACTTGTTGGAGGAACCCAATTGTAGACAACAGGAAAAGGATAGGGTAGGGGAAGGGGTCGGGGTCAGGGTTTGAGGGCTGGGCTGGGCCTTGTCTTCTGAAAGCTGAGAAGCCTGGCCAGTCTGCTGGGAGACTACAGTGCATGGAAGGCCTGTGTGTTCTTCCAGAAGCAGGTCTGAATTTGTTCAACTTCTTTGTCTCCTGAGAAAGATCCTCTGAACCAAAAAACAATTGTGTAAGGAAGACGCCAGACAAGCTGATGGCCTTTGGCTGATCACTGAAGGAAAATATTTTAAAGCCAAATCCAAGGAAGAAAAATGCCAGCAACACCTGAAAGTTAACATAAGATAATGGAGTTCACTGGATTGCATCCTAAAGTCCCTGTCGAACTTTGCATAGACCTGGCTTCTGTGGTCATCTCTTAATCTTCCATCCTCTTGTGAATTTGAAAACTTTTTATGAGGAACTATGTGACCTGATGGCAGGCCCCATGTTCCTCTGGCCTCACTGATCTCTAGGGCACTCCATCCCACTGCCTGGAAGGAAAGAGCTGCTGCCAGTAACAGAAGCGGGGTGCCAGGGAAAAATTTGGATTCCCCAACTGGACCAAATAAGAGTTTCTCAGGTATTTGGTGACCTGAAACGCTTACACTTGAACATAGACTGGGTCTGTGCTGACCCCATAGGGTCTGTAATTGCGCTATTGGTGATTGTTGGCCTGTCTAGTTTAAATACTGTCCAGGCGTGAGCTCTGGTGGATGCAGGGCTGAAACCATCACAACTCTTGACAGCCATGTTCCAGTTGGCAGGGCACAACTGTGGTACCTCTTGCCAACAAAAGCCTGGTGAACGCCATGTCTGGGGGATGAAGTGGGATTTGGAGAAGAGTTACCATTTCTGCTGCTGAGACTTCAGAGGCTGTGCTGCTGTGAGTCTGTTCTGGATGAAAAATAGTGGTTAGTTGACTTGAAACATTGGCCCAATTATTGTGTAAAAATTGTGTGTAATTAACTGTATATTTATAAATTTCTATTTTTATAAGTTGGGAGGGGGGGATTCTGGAAGGGAAAATGTAGTAAACAGAGCCAGATTAAGAATGCAATTGATGATCTCTTAATAAAAGTTCATAATAAAAACTTTGTAAATGAAACAATTACCAGCTTCGAACCTAATTTGTATTCATAAATTAGTGCAATTGGTAAAGAAGTAGGGCTGTATAAGCCCTTCCTTTGGACTGTGAAAGGTATGCTCAGGTGCCCTGAGAACTGTCTAGGACTTTTTACTTTGGAAATTTTTTTTTTTTAAGATTTATTTATTTATACAAGAACTGGGGTACAGTCAGAAGCGGGGAAGGGTGAGAGAATTCAGCAGAGCCAGAGCCGAGAGCAGAACAGGCAGACTGACCAAATACACTGCTGAGGGGAGCAGCGGGCGCAGCAGGTGAAGTCTGCGCGCCATGTGGGACCCTCGCCAGCGGCCGGAGATCAAACGGGTTCTGCAGAGGCTGCGGGCAGCTTCGCAACCCAGGGCTCAACTGCTGCGCCACCGGGGAGGCCCTACTTTGGAAATTTTTTTAACACTAAAGAGGAAGGTATAGATATATTCCCTATGTGTCCTTCACCCACCTTCAACATGTTTTTCAATTCTCTTTCATTTGTTTCTCCCACCTTTTTTCCTTTGGTTTTTTTCTTCCTGGAGTATTTGTTAAGGCAAATCCCAGTCCTGTGTCATTTAATGCAGATGCCAGTACGTATCTCTGCAAGATCTCTCTAATTTTAATCTTGAAGTGATTTCATATTCACAGATACTGCAAAAAAAAAAATGTTCAGGGAGGTTCTGTGCCCACTTCCACCAGTCTTTCCCAGCTGTGGCATCTTGTATAACTGGAACAGTATCACAACTGGGAAATTGACATTGGTACAACCCACAGAGCTTATTCAGATTTCACCAGCCCATGTATGCTTGTGTGTCTGTGTATCTGTGCAATTTGAGTAGATTTGTGGAACCATCAGCACAATCAAAATACACAACATTGGGCCTTCCTGGTGATGTAAGGGGTTAAGATGCAACCCATGAAGCTATCTGAAGCCTCTGCAGCATGAGTTCAATCCCCAGCCAGGGAGCTACACACATGGCACAGCAGACCTCTCCTGACTCGCCTGCTGCTCCCCTCAGCAGTGTATTTTCAGTCAGTCTGCCTGTTCTGTTCCCCACTCAGTCTCTGGTGAATCCTCTCACCCCACACTTATACCCCAGTTCCTGTATGCATATACAGGCGTATACCTCAGTTCCTGTATGCATAAATAAATCTTTGAAAAAAAGATACACAACATTCCTTTCACCACAAGGCTCCTTAATGCTATAGCTTCATAACCACATCCACTCCTACCAGGCAGCCATTGCTACTTTCCATCTCTGTCATTTTATTTAAAGAATGTTATAGAAAGTTTGTAACCTATTAGGATGGATTTTTTTCCCACTCTGAGTAAGTGAGAACCACCCACCTAGGTTCTTGTGTGTATCAATAGTTTCTTTTTACTGCTGAGTAGTAGTGCACTGTGTGAAGGTATTGGTCACACATGGAGGGTCAGCTAAGCTTGTTCCAGTTGGGGCTTTTATGAAGAGAGCAGCTGTGAAGACCCATGTGTAGGTTTTTGTTGTAAGCCTGAGTTTTTTTTTTTAAGATTTATTTATTCATGCATACAAGAACCCGGGTACAGGCCAGATGTGCAGGAGAGTGGAAGATTCACCAGAGACAGAGCAAGAAACAGAACAGGCAGACTGACTAAAATACACTGCTAAGGGGAGCAGTGGGCCAGACAGGAGAGGTCTGCTGTGCAATGTGGGTATCTCCCCCACCGGCCAGGATTGAACCCATGCTGCAGAGGCTGCAGACAGCTTCACAGTGCTGTACTCAACCTCCTGTACCACCAGGGAGGTCCTGTAAGCCCAAGTGTTTATTTTGATAAATGCCCAAGAACACAATTGCTAGGTCCTGTGGTACCATATTTAATTTTTTGGTACTTATTTAATTTTTTTTTAAGATTTATTTATTTATGCATACGAGAGCTGGGGTGCAGGCCAGAGGTGTGGGGGGTGAGAGGATTCTCCAGAGACACAGTGGGGATCAGAACAAGCAGATCCACTGAAATACACTGCTGAGGGGAGCAGCGGGTGAGACAGGCAAGATAAGCTGTGCCATGTGGTTCACCTTCCTGCCTGGGGATCAAACTCATGCTGCAGTGGCTGCAGGTAGCTTCATAGTGCTGCAACTTAACCCTTTGCACCACTAGAGAGGCCCTATATTTAATTTTAAAAGGATCTGACAGTCTGTTTTCAGAATGACTGGGCCATTTTGCATGCCCGCTAGCGATGTGATAGATCAAGTATTTTTCCACATCTTCACCACTATTTGTATTACCATTGTGTTTTAAATTTTAGCCATTCTGGTAGGTGTGTGGTGGTGTCTCTTTGTGATCCCAATCTACATTTCTCACTGACTCCCTGCTGAACATCTCCTTGCTTGCTTCCTGTCTCCATATCCACTGTAGTGAAATGTCCATTTGCCCATTTTCTAATTGGTTTGTTTGGGATTTTTTCATATATTCTAGACTCAAGAACTTTGTTTTTGAGTTGGCTCACAACTGCTTTCTCTCACTCCATGGTTTGTCTTTTCATTTTCTTCCAAGGTCTTTTGCAGAGAAGTGGTTTTTTGTTTGTTTGTTTGTTTGTTTTTTTGTTTGTTTGTTTTTTGCAGAGAAGTGTTTTCATGAAGTCCACTTTATTAATTTTGTTCTTTGTGGGTGAGGAATTTAATCAAGAATTCTGCAACTGTGCTTTTGTAAAGGACAATGTTATTCCCTCGCCCGATCTCTTCTGTTGCTTTTAAAATTATATCTGAAGAGGGCCTCCCCCTTGGCACAGCGGTTGAGCGCTGGGTTGCGAAGCTGCCCGCAGCCTCTGCAGTGCCGGTTCGATCCCAGGCTGCTCCCCTGCCACCGGAGGAGGGTCCCACATGGCACGCAGACCTCTCCTGCTGCCCGCTGCTCCTCTCAGCAGTGTACTTTGGTCCTTCTGCCTGTTCTGTTCCCCGCTCTGGCTTTGGTGAATTCCCTCACCCTCCCGCGCTTCTGACTGTACCCAGTGCTTGCATAAATAAATGAATAAATCTTAAAAAAATATATATATCTGAAGACTAATACTAATTGAGAACTTAGCTCTTGCTTGTCACTGGCCTAAGTGTTTTACATATACTGACTCACAATTACCCCAAAAGTGAACGTTCTCGCTGCTCCCAGTTGCAGTTGAGCTCACAGCAGGTCAGTAACTTCCCCCAGTCCACTTGGCTGCAGTCTGCTCTGGAGTCTAAAGTTTGTTTCTACCTTTCACACTCTTGCCTTGTGACTCTGTAGTCCTGTTCCCCACATATGTTGAACACCAACATGTGTGAGGTGATTCCCACCACACACCCACACTTCTGGGGCAGTGGTGGGAGGAGAAGGACACCCGAAATGGAAGCAGTTAAAGGAGAGAGTGAGGCCCAGCTTTCTTCCCCTGCTGTCAACTCCTTCCTTGACAAGTAGATGAAGGGACAAAAACCTTTATGAAGGCTTCAATCACTTTATGCATGATGGATCTGTAACAGACGATTAAGGAGACTAAGAATTTCCTGGTGCTTGGAGAGTGAAGATCTTGTTAAGGGAAATGCCAGTGGCCTTTCTCACTGCCCTTGGGACCCCTGGCACACATGGGCTAGAACAACTGTGGGTCTGCTCTAGGGGTTGGTGTTGCTACTGGATAGAACAGTGTGTTCCAATATGAATTGCGCTACTCTAACAAGAGGTCCCCCAAACACAGCACTTAAGACAAAAGTATATGCCTTCTACAAATGCCTGGATAGGTGGGGAGGGCTGGCTGGGGTGGGCGGTGGTGCTGTGGTGTAGTTCTCCTGCCCCCAAACTCCTCCCTCCATCACCTCGGGTGCTGCTGTGTCCATGTCTGGAAGATGAGTCACATTCGAGGGGGAGGGATAGAGGAGGGGAAGAGGGGACCTGTGTGCAGAGGAGACCTAAGACCCAGAAGCTGTACCATCTTCCTGATGTGGCCCCATCAGGCTGCAAGGGGAGCGAGGAGATGTGGGCTTTAGCTGGGTGGCTCTGTGTCTAGGTCAAATTTAGGAGCCTTGTCACCATGGAAAGAATGAATTTGGGGGACAGCTGGCAATTTGCCACAAATGAGGTTTGGGCTCTGTGCCCAGGAATGTGTGAGTGGGACAGGCAGTGAACCTCTTAACACTGAAGCCACCTGACCAGGCACCCTTGGTCGAGCAGGGCCCAGAGGCTAACAGTCAGCTGCTCCTTTGGGATCTGGGCCCTCAGTGAAGTGATTTGACCTCACCTGTGACCCTGATGTCTGCCCCTTCTTCAAAGTTGTTCTTCTGGTTTGCATGACATTGCCCTCCTTTCCTTGTTAGACCCCCTTTCGGCCTCCCTTTTCTTTGCTGTATGTCCCCCCTGACTCACCCAGCTATGGGTGGCCCCCAATACTCCTCTGTTCCTCCACCTCCAGCTGCCACCTTCCCAGGAGTCCTCAGCATCCGCCTGTCTGAGCTTGCTCTCCATGGAGCTTCTGTCTGGTTATACTTTTTTTTAAAGATTTATTTATTTATGCATACAAGAACTGGGGTACAGGCCAGAGATGCAGGGGGTGAGAGGATTCACCAGAGACAGAGTGGGGAACAGAACAGGCAGATTGACTTAAATACGCTGCTGAAGGGAGCAGCGGGCTAGTCAGGAGAGGTCTGCTGTGCCATGTGGGTATCTCCCTGGCTGGGGATCAAACTCATGCTGCAGTGGCTGCAGAGAGCTTCATAGGTTGTGTCTTAACCCCTCTGCCACCCGGGAGGCCCAGTCTGGTTATACTTTTCATGAGCTGGTCAGGCTGGGTTAGGCTCACCTTTTCCCCCACATCAATTCCACTCCAGCTGGACAGAAATTAGAAACAGAGAGGCCAATGGCTGGCCCTTGAGTGCTTGCCTTGGGCCAGGACCACGGGCTTCACAAATTGCCTCATCCTCCCAGTCACTGGCCTAATCACTCTAGAAGCCTCATTCTTCATCTGCATTATCAGTCAGCCTTCTGC